ATTTAACTATTAGACATTAAATTTCATTTAAAAATGTCATAGTGACTATAAAAAGAGTCAAAATATTTTGATATGTAAAATATGATAGTTTAAACATTTGGTGAAAATCATATTATATACGGTTATTTTTTATTAGAATAACACCGAAAATCAAAATCGATTTTATCGAAAACTACAATAAATATCAGTTTTTCTTAATACCGTTTGTTTTTCCTGAAGCTTTTGAAAACTATTAAGAATTTTTAATTTTTGATGCCTCTAAGTACCAACTTGATTAACTTTTCTAGTAGAAAAGGCAGAAACCGAAGTGGAAAATCGAATTATTTTTACTATTCCAAAGGCCAAACGGCATGGACATACAAAAATAAAAATAAAATACTGACACACACACACACATAGTTCAAAACGTTCATCTCTCCAGTCTCCACTAATTATCTAAAAATAAAAAACTTACCTGGGTTAACTATAAAAATTAAGAAATAATATTTAGTTGACAACATCATAACTATTTATAGGTTTGAGAGTATACAATTATTAGCTATGCCACTCCATACATCACATAGTTCACAATTTTTGTACGAAAATTTCTCAAGATTGTGTAACCATTTTGTTATGAAATGTGTCTACGGTCTTGAATAACATTGTATGTAATTTATAAGGAAGTTCTGAGTTAAAATACATTTTTGATACCCTTATAAATATATTAAACATATTAAACATGTTTTTTGTTTTGTTTTACAAATAAAGTTTATATTGCAATTTTTTATTTTTGCAAACGAGCTTATTTTTAATTATAGTCCGATTACGCAATCAACAGTATTTCCTGATTTGTTCACTCTTCAGAGTAAGTTTCAACATCTTTAGTATGTTTTTAGTAGCTTCACACAATTTTCCTGACGCTTTTGAAAACTTTTGGGAATTTTTTACGTTTGATCCCCCAAAATATCAACTTGATTCCCTTATCTACAACAAAAGGTAGGAGTTAAAGTAGAAAATCGAAACATTTTTACTGTCCCGGAGGTAAGGATCCACACAAATAAAAAAATACACACACACATACACATCATTGTAAAATCAATAGGTTCATCGATCCACTTATTATCTAAAAATAATAGACATTTAACTTACGATTCACGTAAAGAATTTCACCATCTATAAAAAGTTAAAAATAATATTTAGTTGACAACATAATAATTAAATACTTACAGATTTGAAACAAAATACAAAACGATATTTTAGGCATATAACACTTAGTTCAACATTTTTGTACGAAACATTTCCGAGATTCTGTAGCTATTTTGTAATATGTGTATAATAATAGGTGAGATTGGATATAAATTATTATAATGTGTAACAGTATAAATCAAAAGGAGAACAGAAGAAAAATAATAATTTTATAATTTGGGTATAATATCAATATAAATGCGACTACTGATAATATCTATTAGTATAATTACAAAAAGACTCAATAGAGTGAAGATAAAAAAATCTATTTGGGTATCATTAGCTAGTCTAGTGTTTCTATTTAAAGGTGCATTTATTATGTAGTGTGTTCTTTGCAAGTGATTGATAAAAGTATAGGTATTCATAGTTTGTCATTGAGGGACATAACAATTTAGAAAACTAGGTAGTTCTGGACAATGTACGTAGCCATTTACCAATCTAAATAAAAATTTTAAATCATGTATGTTTCTTCGGCCAGCAAGGCTGATCATGCCTTAATAAAGGTTTAAATTATGAATGTGGCTGTCGAGGAATGCCACATTTTTATTACATAGAACAAAAGAAACGGTTTTGGATTGATTCGTGGAATTGTATATGGATGTTTGCAGAAGGAAACCAGAAAATACAATTAAATTCTAGAGTGGAGCGTACTAAAGAAAAATGTAGAACTTTTAAATCGGATTTGAAAAATTCTTAGATGTTCTAGTAATAGATCCAAGAATGGATGATAATTTTTTTGAAATATTTAAATAATGCCTATTAAAAGATAAAATTGTGTCAAACCAAACACCCAAATCGATATTTTCAGACACACGATGAAGTAAAGTATTATTTAAATAATATTGTGGAGAAGTGGTGGAACAATTTCTCTAGAAAAAGACATGAATTCCCAGTTTACATTCATCAGTGTTAATAATAAATTGTTTTGTTTGCACCAGATAGATAATGTATTTAAGTTGTCTCGCAAGAGGATAGCATCCGTGGGGGACTTTACAACTTCTTATCAAGTAATTTTTTGTCACCATGAAATTAATTTACTGAGGTGATAAGTTTATTTTGGGTGATTTTTTGGATTCATGATCTTTTCCAATTTATCTGATGAGTCGACGTCAGACATAATAATAAAAAAATATGGAAAGAATCACCAGTATAATATATTACATAAATTAATTTATAACTGTTTTATAAGAGATACGGTAGGTATATAACGTGTAGGTATACGTGTTACTCAGGCAGAGGCTAAAGCTTAACTGTCAACAATTATAGTCCAATTAATGATTATCCAATCAATAGTATTTCGGATTTCTTATTTTGTTCACTTTTCAGCGTAGTTTGGAACATCCTTCTTATGTATTTAGAAGCTCCTCACATGATACCAATTTTTTTACTTTTGATTCCCCGAAGTACCAACTTAATTCGCTTTTTTACTAGAAAAGGTTGGTATAGGAACTAAAGTGAAAAATCGAAGCATTTTTACTGTCCCAGAAGGCGAGAGCACTCAAATAAAAACACACACATTAATGTATATCAGTGGATTCACTGCTACGCTTGTTATCTAAAAATAATAGGCGTTAAAATTACCTACCTTCATCTGTAAAAATTTAGAAATAATATTCAATTGACAACATAATAACTATTTACATATTATTTGAGGCAGAATACAAAACGATATCTTAGCTATACCACTCTAAAACACTTAGTTCAACATTTTTGTAAGAAACATTCACAAGATTATCAATAGTAAGACTAAATATATATTTTTTTCGCATAAAAAATGTTGGACAAAATAAATTTAAATTACTATTTAAATCAATAAACGTGCTTATATCTGTAACGGTTTACTGGTTCGTAATTCATGTCACCCGCAGAAAATGTCTGTCGTCAAAATAACACAGGGACGCTAACTAAAAGAGTACATACTACATACATCATAATATTATACAGTAGTCAGTTTGGATCACTGTTTGTGCACGAACACCATTGATCGTTATCGACGTTATCGGCAATTCGAATATTCTCGAACGTACGACCCCCCTGTTCCACCCCGCCGTCCACGTGTCACTTTTTCGCACGTCGTCCGCCGGACCGCCTCAGCAGCAGACGCGGAGCCCGTTGTGCGACGTCCGACGACCGAACGCATTAATATTAATCAATTGGAAATATTACTGTAATCCAGCTAAATTGATAGTGGTCATTATTTTATCGTTACACCTTTCCCGTTTTCCAACTAGAAATAGATAAAGCTTCTCTCGCGGAGGCGCACGTACGCAAACAGTGACGGCAGGATATAATAGTATTTGAAGCAGTTGCTCCAGTGGCGCCGAACCTATATGTTAGGTGTGGCGGCTGCCACACCTAATTTAGGGGGTGGGTACCCCCTAGCATTGGTAGTTTTTAAGTATGTACAAACAATTGTATAATTTTATAATTAAGATAAGAAGGAGCAGTGGACATAATATTACAGGTTACGGCGCAACGCGAACTGGTCCATTCGTAGAGTGTCGTAGTGTACACCGTGACACGCCGCGCTGTGTGATTACTTTAGAAAAATATTAAATAATATCACTATATTTGTATAAGATAAATTACCAACATTATTCCTAATAAATTTCTAAACCTAACAGCGGCTACAGTTCACGTTATTTTACGCAGGCTAATGGCTATACAGAGTGAAACATAATATACATGAAAGTAATATCGTAAAGGTGCGATTCCTTAGGACGCGTCTGTAGACGCACGGCCAATGCGGCTGCCGCAGTGCGTTCGAGATTTTGGACGTGCGGCCGATCACGGATTTCTTAGGATTTAAACGCAGCCGCAAGAGACGCACTGCTCATATTTTTCACACAAAATAAATTGTTATTTGTTTTCAGAGCCCTTCAGTACATTTTCTACGTTTCAACAGTCAACAGTGTATTGTTAATTATTAATTTTATAGTGTATAGTGAATACCTAAAATATTTTATACAGTGCAGTGTAGGACGCAGATATCATGTCACTTACTAATCTGCAGAAAAAGAAGACACTTCTTCTTCTTTTAGAAGAAATAGATGATGAAGAATTACTTATGAAATTTATGTTTAAAAAAAACCAAAATGTCCATGATATGTTTCAAACTAGAAAATCTGAAGGTTTTTTCAGTGTTTTAATTGAGAAACATTTATTCCGTGACCAGAGAAAATTCAGAGAGTTTTTTAGACTCAGTTATGATCAATTCACATATGTTTTAAATCTAATAGAAGATGATATAAAATGTAATGCGTACAACAGACATAAAGAACCTATAAATCCGGCCGAAAAACTAGCATTAACATTAAGGTAAATACCTAACACTTGTTTCAGAGATATGTGTTGATATTTGTAATGTTAATTATATTGTATTTACAATATGTAATTTAGTTAAACAGAATAATATAATTCATATGCACTTTTTTTTTAATACTCTAACCTTGAAAAATAATAATTAAATTTCAACTGATTTTATAGATACTGAATTTATTTATTCACTTAAAAAACATAAGAACATTATATTATCAACTAATAGAATATACATTATAAATACATTTAAAAAAAAAAAAACATTTCACTTTGCACTTAACGAAAAACAAATAAAAAACTTCACCGTTAAAAATATTATTATTAATTAATAGATAACTAAAATTATTTTAAATGTTATGATAAAAACTAATTTTAACATTTAAAAATCAAAATTGCTTAGTCTTGAGTTAACTCAAAAAAAACATATTGAATATAAATCATACAAAATTAGAAAAACTAATAAAAGTATAAAAACTGTTTAGATTTTATACATATATAATATTATGAGCTGATGACCTGACTTGTCGCCCTTAATTATTAGTATCTTCATAATGTTGTGTAAATGGTTGAGTCCAATTTACAGCTGAACTGTCTATATCAAAAGAACTTGACGTAGAATTACTTTGCAATGAACTTGTGTATGAATGTAAAGACTGAATATCTCGTGGACTTGAAATTACTGTTTGTGGAAATATGTAAGTAGAAGAAGAAGAAGATTGACGCTCTGGCTGAATATTTTGTACCTCTAATTCACTGACAATACGAAAAACATCTGTTTTGGCTTTAATTTTCAATTCTGGAGTAAATTGTTTGACAGTTGCAGCAATGCTTTCAAAAAATATATCTATTGGATCTCTTTCATTTGTTTCATATAACTTCTCCAATAACTTATTACGCTCATCGCTTCTTTTATTTAAAGTATCTATAATAATTTCATTTTGTTTAAGTCGTTTTGTTGTTAAGGATACTTTTGCTTTTTTAGCTATAACTTCAGTTGGCTCAGAAAAAGACGTGGATGGTAAATGTTCATAATCTGACTCGATCTGTGATAAAATAGAGTCATCTACTGGCGAATCATGTACTTGGCTACTTGTGTCATCATTTTGTGTTGCGTTTTGATCTTCGTTTGAGATCACATTTGATAATCCCCTAAACAAAAATAATATTAATAGTTGTTAAAGATGTTTTATACTATTTATTATGAAACGTGATGTATGTAGGTATTAGATTGGAATTCAATGAAAACTTTTTGTATTAATTGTAGCGATTCTGAGCGGAAATGATCAGTTAAAACTATATATTATTCTATGATATGATATATTTATATTGATACCTATAATAGTTATTAAAGCTCGAACACTAGTTCTGTATAAAAAATCCTGCTTTCCTCAATTTTACTATGACCTAATCAATATGATTGAATATTTTTTAAATTTTATACTCTTTTTCATTTTCATATTACGATCTATATTAATTATTGTACATATGTCTAGATTGTAATTTCAGATTCTGAGCGGAGCGACGCGCGAATGTATTGATTTTACAATGATGTATCGATTTTACTGATTTTAGATATTGTTGTAACACTAAAACGTAGACACATGAAATTGTCACTGAATATTTATAGTGGCATTTTCTAAACTTGATAATATTTTCAAAATATTTAAACAATTTTTAAGTTATTTATAGATATTTGAATTTTTTCGATTTTTTAGTTTTTTATCCTATACATGTCGATAAAATTCAATTATTGGGTCAAAAAACTTAAATGTTTAATACAAGATTCCCCATATTTTCATATAATAGCAGTTGTAAAATATTAAAAATACATATGCACGTTTTTTTTTTTTTAGAAACATTTAAAGTTGAAATTTTGACAACATTTATTTAATTTAAAATTATTCTAATAATCTAATATTAATAGTTAATGTCAATAATGACTTATATTAATTCTTTATGATGTAAATACCTACATAAACCTTCCATGAATGACTGAGTGTGTCTGGTACATAATGAATCTGATTTAATTAATTTGGAATTTATTTTATAGTTGCTTTAATTTTTTTTTTTAAATAATAACAATATAATTAATATAGTATAAAATATCCTAGACTGACAAACTGTCTCAGCTCAGAATCGTTTTTCGTATACAATGATATTATATATCATTGAATTCAAATTTAATACCATCCATTACAGTAACCCACTTTTTCAAAATAAAGTTATATTGTTAAAAAAAGAATTAATTAAAAAAAATATATACTAATAAACAATTATTACTGTCTTTCATAAGTCGTTGTGTCCAAGAAAGATAAAACATCGGCAAGCATCCATTTCGATGGTTTATCTTTGGCTGCTGATCCAGTCCCCAATTTTCTGTTTCTTTTTTTTTTATTATAAGTATCTTTTATACTTCTCCAACGTTTTTTACAGTCTTCGGCTATAATAATTTTTAAAGTAAAAACAAAATCATTGTTATAACCAGTTCGTACATAATATTACCACGAGTCACAATAATTACAAGCTAATAAAGATTATATTATCATATAACAGAAGTTTTCCCATAAACATTCGACATATTATTTTTCGTTATAATTTAGTTACGTTATTTTTAATTCACTTCTTTCGCCGGTTACCTCATAAAATAATAATAATGAACACGTAAATACAATCTAAAAACATGCATATTTAAAAGGATATTTACTAGTTTATCAACGTTTAAATTTAGAATCACAGTACTGGAATTATATTATTAACATTTATAAATTATTTACTATACAAAATTGAAACAACGTGGAAAATACAGGCTTGTCGAAAATACTAAATTCTATATTTTAATAATAATGATAATAATTTCAATAATATTATTTTAGTTTTAATTTTAACAAATTTACTAAGCCAATTAAAATCATTAATATTTATTATTTTTTTAGGTTTATGGCAACTGGGGAGTCTTTGAGATCACTAGCGTTCTCATTTCGTATTTCACAAGGTTATATTTCTCGAATAATTCCTCTTGTAGTAAAAAGTTTAAGTTTACGATTAACACCTCTACTATTAGCTCCACCTACAAAAAATAATTTAATTCATATTGCAGAAGAATTCTGGACAAAATGGAATTTCCCTAATTGCACCGGAGCAATCGATGGAAAACACATCAGAATATTTTGTCCAGGAAAATCAGGATCTTTATTTTTTAATTATAAAGATTTTTTCTCAGTTGTTCTGTTGGCTATTGTTGATGCCAATTGTAAATTCATATTCGTTGACATCGGTGCATATGGTAAAGAGGGGGATAGTGGGATATTTACGAAATCTAGTTTATATAAGCAAATACAAACAGGAGAATATTTTCCTCGTGATTCTAAGCTCCCCAACTGCGAAAAATCATTACCATATGTTCATGTTGGC